AACCCCTTTTCGTCCATATTGAATATATGGGAGGGTTGGACGTTGTACTCCTCTATCTTTTCAACCAGAAGCTTGAAATACAAGCTGTACTTGGCTCCTGAATCGGCGTTGCAACGAAGTTTGCTCATCCCCTTGCTGTGGGCAGAGATGAGATGGTTGGGGTGCCGGCGGATGAACCGGTCAACCCAGCTTTCTGAAACCGGCTTTCCAGCCAAATCTGAAGCAAAGCGTTGTATCATTTCCTTCGTAGGTGGCAAACGTCGTTCGGTAAGCGTATCGATGTATCGTACAAGCTCCTTCTCGTGTTGTGGATGGAGGGAGAGGTTGCGCACGCCATAGGCCTCAGTTTCGCCGCGGTGTCGTCTCATCAACGTCATTCGTGCTACACCATGCTTTTTCGCGATTGCTTGATACGAGAATTTATCTCCTGGTTCTCGCGATTCGATTTCTGCAATCGCTTCTTGAATCGGGTCCATATTGGTTGAGTTTTGACGCGTTGAAGTTTTGTTGTTGTGGTGGTGGGGGTGCTCAACTGGCGATGGTGCTCATCTGGTGCACGGGCACTGTAGCGCGTTTCTGCGCATCATGGCTTGCCCACCTCCGCTTGTCATCCGCTTCCTCACTATCACCATGCCGCAGCACCCATAATTTTACTATTGAAATTAGCCATTTAATGGAGATTAATGGAATGGAAGTGCTGCCATTCTATTGCTACTCCCGTGGAAATTTTCCCTGGACTCTTGTTGTCAAGCTGATGCCATGCTCACGTGTTACCCACGTTCACGTGCTGGCACAGCCCAGCATCTCATAAATGACATTTCGTATGACTGAGAAAGCCAAATCCCTACCATCATCTCTTGTTCGCTGCCAGTGCGCCAGGACAAGATTCGATAAAGACTTCTCTAAGAGAACCTCATCATGACAACAAAAAAGAGCGCAGGATACCTGCCCGTGAACTTGACAAAAAAGCCAAATGTCGTCGAATCGAGTATTCTTTTCGGGATTCAATCCGAGTATATCCAAGCACATTGTACTGAAATGGTATCTCTATGCCTAAGTCCTATGTACTTTTGACATTGTCTAGGTCACGATCGCGTGGCGACTTGGAAGACCAACTACATGGTTTGAACAATTAAAGTTGTAGAGATGTAAGGGGGATTGTATACAAGGAAACGAGTTTGTTATGGTTTATCTTAGTGGATTGGCAATATGGTTCAAACTTGACTGGATGCTGTCGACCACACTCAACATATTGACATTGAACAAATAAAATTATAAGAGTTAACACTCGACACAGTCAGAAACACAATACCACACCACATAACACGATACTTATCAATACATCGCGTAATATTGTTAGTCGTTAGTCATCAAATGCATGCACTAGGTGCTCATGCAGGTACCACGACAAAGTCAACATGGTGCTCTACGCACTGCACCTAGGCATGAAAGGCCCCACCCGAAGGATGGCCTACTTAGTATCGCCTTCCGTACCCCTCATCTCCATATCCACTAGATCCTCCATATCCACCGCTGCTACCACCATACCTGCCAGAACCATGCTCTTGCCTTCTCTCCCCATACTCGTCTTCGCCACCAAAACCGCCAGGAACTCCCGAAGCACCGTAGGATCGCTCAGGTTGCTCGCCACCGTATTCGCGGCCTTCAGAGCGGCCATATCCACCAGAAGAGTAAGACTCCTCGCGGCTGTAGCTCTGTTGGCTGTGACTCTGCCCATAAGAACCACCATGGTTGTCTTGACGACCGTATCCTGACTCTTCTTGACGACCGTATCCGCCAGAGCTATAAGAGTCAGTACCATACCGAGACTGCTGGCGGCCAGAGTCTCCAGAGTAGCCGCCATGACTCGAACTTTCATACCTGTACGACTCTTCACGGCCATAGTCCTGTTGGCGGCGACCATATCCAGACTCCTCGCCGTAGCGTTGCTCCTGGCCGTAACCCCCGGAAGAACGCTTAGGTGATCGACTGCCGCTCTTTTGACGGCGGTGCTCATGTCCGCGAGAACGAGAGCGGGAGTGACGCCTATGGTCCCCCGAACCTGATCGACGCTTGTCAGCATCGTCGTCCGAGTCTCCACCGTGACTGTGGTGCTTGCGGTGCTTCTTCTCTTCCTTTTCACGCCTCTTGCGCTCCTTCTTTTGGCGCTTTTCATAGGAATCACCGTCGCCCGAGTCGTTCGAGTCATCGTTGTCGGAATGCTTCTTGGACTTACCACGTCGCCTACCCAGTTGTTAGCGCTTACTCGCTGTACTAGAAGCTGACCACTTACTCTTTCTCTTCTGAGTAGTATTGTCCTGATTGGTCAAAACCTTCGCGAGTCTCGTCAGAACGCCACTCATTACCACGCTGGACGCGACGCTCTTCATGACGTTCATATCCGCCGGATCCACTGTAGCTAGAGGTCTCGACCCTCTGCTGGTAACTGTAAGATCCACCATGATTGTCTCGCTCTTCACGAGAGTACTCCTCGCGACGCCCACCGCTTGGGTATTGTGTCTGTTGGTACTCGGCATGCCCATAGCGGTCGCTGTCACCGTACGAGGATCCTTGGTGGTGACCGGTTTCAGAGTACGACTGCGTATAAGAACCGTCTTGGCCATATCTTTCCTCCTGGCGACTCTTCCTCTCCTGTTCAGCAAATGCCCCTCCGAGTATAGAGCCTCCAATGCCTCCAACAAGGCCTCCAACGAGTCCACCCAGGGCACCGCCGCCGACGGCTTCGCCTGCGAGTTTACCCACATGATCAGAGGCTTGCTGGATCTGTGCATTGGGAGCACCACCCTTGCCTCCAGTCGCGCCAAAGTTGTTGGCCATGCCCAGAGGCTTTCCACAGCCATGGCCCTTATCATGGACGTTTTCCTTATGGTTCTGACCCTTTTCTACACCTCCTCTGCTGAGTTGCTCACGGAACGTTCTCTTCGCTTGCTCGTCTTTGGATCCCCACCATGTCCGAACAGTATCGAACATGGTTTTGCGGCCTTCGATGATTGCATCATTCTCAATACCAGTGACACAGGCGGGATGGTGGAATACTCCCTTGATGATGCGATCAATGGTCACTTCAGGGTCCGCCTCACCATCCCAGCATTGAACAATTTGCGGAACAGCCCATGCAATGGTGGCTGAAGCTACTCGTCCAGCGGGCTCGTTGAGTACGTTAGAGAAATGATCCTTCGAAAGCATACTGTGGGTGGGGTCGGTACAATCATCGTCGTTGAAGACAATGTGCTGCTTATCGCGGGAGCTGGCAATGACCTCAGTCGAGCCCTCTTCGAGCTCAGTCTTGACCTGGTTGAGGATAGGCAAGATATAGGGTGCAAGCAGACTGAAGACGAATATTGTGACTTGGTTCTGGACTTCCTCAATCAAGTCTGGCAGGATAGGAATCTTCTCGATGAACTCAGCGATGGCTTGCATAATCTCATCGTGGAATTCCATAATGGGGTAGATTTGCTTGACCAGTTCCCCGATCTGCTGAGTAAACGCCTCGGGTTCCTTGGGGGTGATTTGTATGTTACCCATGGCTGCAGCGTTGGCATTGTCTTCGAGCTTATCGGCCTTGCCAGCCTCATCTTTGCCACCAAAGATGCCGTCGGGGAGCTTACTGAGGAGATCCTTAATTTTGCTCTTGTTCTTGCTCCTTTCTGCGTTGGCGATGGCGCCCTCAAGCTCCTGGAGCTCGGATTGCGTAGCCTTGTCCGAAAACTCTCCACACACGGAGTGCAGGAAATCGACACCCCCAAAAGTACCCGTGACAATGGGGTACACTTCCTTTCGAGCATCTCGAACTTGAAAACGAGCGTTCTTGCCAACGTGAGGAAAGACTTCACCTTCACCCATCTCGATCAAGGCAAGCTCAACGTAGTTGGAGTGAGCAGCGTAGTCCTCAAGGCAGTGCGTGGCAGTACCGAGAAGACGGAGAGCTTCGTAAAAGTCGGGGCCTTGTCCTCGAGAGCGCCGGCCCAGATCAATGCAGCGTCTGAGCAGGTCGCGAACCATGCCTGCCGAGGTTGCGATACCCAAGCCTTCCGATGCAATGTAGTTCTTGAGGCCGGTTTCCTCGTCGATGCTGAGCTCGCGGCGCTCATCGACGGGGCCTCGTAGGCGGCGATCATAGTCGCGAGCATCAATGTTATCAGCGTAGTCCTGAGATGTCAGTATGCACATATGGTTGGGTAGCAAGTGGAACTGACCTTGGGGTTGTCGATGTGCTCCTCTGGCCTGTAGCAGCCGAGACGGTCGCGAGTGACTTCGAACTCCTTGGTGCCGTATCCGAAGCTCATGAATCCCAGGATCCAAAGAAGAATGCGAATAGCCTCTGCTGACACCATCTTGACAGTGCCGACATCAACTGCCTGCGAGTAGTCGCGGAGCCAGTTGCCAAAGTAGACGCGCTTGACGTCCATTTTGCTGAACTTCTTGCCAGTGCGGCCGCTGATAAGTAGCGTAAGCAGCGTATCTTCGATATCTCCATGGCGCCAGTTCTGTCCCTCAATGGAACTCAGGCTCGCGATGTTGCCCGCACCAAAAGCTGCAGTGGGGCGCGCCCAAAACACAAGAAGGATGAGGCATGGTAGCCAGATGTCGCTGATTCGCGGCATCGTGCTGTCGTCTTCGTATACTCTAGTATGTGTTCAGAAGGAAGTCACGGTATGAGAGAAGACGGCCACAGTGGTGGAAGAGGGGTGTTTTTGTGTAGAGGAGGATTGCTAGCGCAGTTTCAGCTCCCACCTTGGGCGAGCTGAGCTGCCCCGCCAAAGCCCCAGCGCTGACGTAGCAAGGCCCAATAGCCACCATACATTGTGGTCTTGGCGCCCAGCCGATTGACTGGCAGCAGACATGTCCGTCCGGATTGCGCCGCTACTCACGTCAGACATTTTCTTTTCCCCACTTCAAAGGTGTGATGCCTCTTTCAGCTGCTGTGATAGTATGCTTTTTCGCTATACGAGCGTGATATCCCTTTGGACACCCTCTGGTACATATTCCGGCTCCCCACCCATGTGAAATTCCTCTGTCAATACCATTTTTCCGATACGCATATATTGACCTCGATCTTCTGGCTCTGTTGCCTGAAGAATCAGGTATGTAGTCGTAATAAAAGGCGGCTGGTTTATCAAAACAGGACTGAGTACGTAGGCAAACAGAGCGAATGTGTCGTACTCTCGGCTCCCCCCACCGTCGTCTGGGATTCCTGGGTCCAGGCGCAATGGGCTACGCACAGCAGAGCGTACTGGCTTGGGCCGTAACATGCGACGCATGATTCCCCGAATGCGAATCGTGCTGCCACTGGGATCAGACGTCAGTGGCTGACCGCTCCATTTTACATTGGCGTTCAGAACTTGGGCTTGGTACACGATGCCCAAATCCCATGGTGTTGACTCATTCTTCAAAAGGTATTTCCATTGCACTGTTGCCCACACTTTGACACTGCCGTGACAAAATGACATCCACGTCCAACTTGGTCGGCGACTATTTGGTTCCACTAGAGGCACTGTTTGCTCGCGAGGATCGCGTAATACCTCCCATGCTAGATGGACTATAAGGTGACGCTCCCATAGACCTACGATAGGCTGATCACCAGTCATTTCTTGGTAATGTTTCACAATACCGGCCAGAGCCGCGTATTGATCGCTGGCCACGGAAAGGGTGCGCTCCGAATAATCTGCTACGCAACCCCACCAGTGTCTGTCAAACTCGTAGGCGCTCGATTCAGAAACCTCGCTCTTTTCTTTAGAGGTAAAAACATCTGAATTGCGTTGTGCTATGCCCAGAAGCGAGTCTGATTTCTGCTGATGTATCATACCATCTTCGCTTTCCGTAATAACATTACATTGCCATACAAACTGTGAGTGAACGGCATGTAGAATCCGACGTGAGAGTAGCTTTTCTTGTAATATCCACGCCCTTGAGTGGACTGGTCCATCCCGTAGCTGCTCTTTGAGGATATCTGTTGAGCTTCTGCCAAGTACCACAGTTTCCCTGGCGGCAAAGTCAAGACTTCCAGAGCCAGGGCCGGAAAACCGCTTTACCGATTGTCGCTTGGGGGATAACCCACATCCTTCATGGCTGTTATTAGCGCTGGTTGCAGAAAGCGTAATAGTGGCCGCGCGATAGATTGCTGCCATCTTGGCACTTTCGCGTTGCCAGTCTCGTTCGTCGTCTTGGATAATACACAAACTATCTATCCATAGATACTGAAAGCCGATAGCTGTAGTGATCCGAACGGCATCTTGGAATGTCTTAGGGAGGTTATCGAAATCGATGCCGATGTCATAGTATTGCGCTATGTTTTCACTAGTCGTTTTGCACGGTAAGTCAATACCACCCCAAACATGGCTGAGCACGAGATAAGGTTTATTGTGCAAGTCGATACCTTCGCTTGGCACAAGTCTGGTTGAGTAAAGATTGGGTTCCTGCTCTCGTACTTGAATCATGCGTGCAGCTAATTCGACATCTACCTTCAGGACCTTGCGGCAGCCTGGATGATATGTCTCGCATTCTGTAAGCCATTCACGTATCGTTTCGCTTCGAAATCTGAAGTCGATTGAATCAACTTCGCTCCAGATGGGCCGGTGAAACGCTCTCCCTGCAAACTATCAGAAATGCTAAGTTGCTTCGTGACCAATGATGAAAGAAGAGTACCAGCTTCTGTATAAATAACAATCGCTTTCCTATCATCCCTCGTGGTAACATGGTGCATAGGATTTATTTGTAGAACTGCGTGGTCAAAGTGTCCGTTTTGGTCCAAAATAGGTTTTCTTGTGACGTCCCAGATATCCACTGTTGGTGCGGTTTTTGGATCCCGGGATATCAAGAGTAGACTTCTGTACCCATCATGGTGACGGACCATGATGTTCGCTGCATTAGGAGGAAGAGGCTCCACTGGCTTCTCATTATAATCGACAGCTCGAGCAAGATAGTCTTGTAGGTGAGGCCTTCCAAAGAGGCTACAAATATACTTGCACAGCTCGCATCGATCGCCGCAGTCCATGAGCTCGTAAATGTCTCGGTGGAAGCGTGCAAACTTTCGCTCGAATGCCTTCCAATGGAAAAACCTCTCAAGACATTCGGTGCAATAGGAAGGGTTTCTCTTGGTAGAGTGTTGGGTCTCGGTATGACCAGGGCTGTGAACAAGCGGGTCTTGTCGCGACATGACTTGAAGTCTGACGAGAAAATGACAATGAAGCTGGAGTTGATAGTGGAAAATCGGCTAGCCTTTCCATGTGCTTCATTACAGTAAGAGGAAATAAGTAGGTGCATTGCGTGTCGCTGTGCCGCATTGCAGCACTTAGACATGCTGCCTGGGAGGATTCATCCGACCCAATGATTGTTTGCCAGCGCTGCAGGCCCCCATTTTCGATACGCAGGCGAGCGCCGGTTTCTCGTATACATGCTTATGAGCAAGGCTGTATATGGACTCTGTTTCTCTTCTAGATAATGCAGCCGCGTGCGGTTTTTGCCTGAGCGCTTGCACTGGTTCCTTTGGCTGAAGACTTCCAGTAAGACTGTGATGAAACCTGGTCCTTTGCATGTAAAGGAAGGTCGTGTTATGTCACGGCGCTTGTCCCGGTACCTCTTTCGGGCACCACAGTCTATTCATAGCACGTGGGGCCACATCAAATCGGAAAATTCGCAAGTTCCGATAAAGTACATTCGTCTCGTGTGGATTCGACTGTGGCAGTTGTGTACATAGTGATCAGCTGTGAAGACAAGTATTCGAGCATATCACATATCCCGTCTTCTGGCGAATCCAGGGCCAGGCAGAAGCTGAGGATGTTTCAGCGTCCTATTCTGCAAGTCTTAGACACAAACTTGCATTGCGCCACTAAAATTCGCATCGCCTATTGTGTCTTAGAAGTAACCATACCTGATTTTTGTCGGGGTAGAGAAGTTGCATGGTTTCGTATAGCGGACGTGGTTGCAAAGCCACAGGATTTATAAACATAAGCATTTTAGTAAGTTACTATAAATTCTTATTAGCAGTTGGTCAGCCTTCTGTTGCGGGATCGATTACTTATGTCACAGCCGCCACAAGCCTTCGTGGAGGGGCCTGGAAGTCTCGCGCAGCGCCATTCTAGGCTCATAGGACCGCAGATGAATGATATATTGTTTTGCTGTCAGAAAGATGATGCGGATTTTCGGACAGAGTTGAAGATGCTGAAGTCGGATTGCGTGAGGCGCTTAGACCAGGGACTAAGCAAGCTGAGGTGTGAAGCTGAAGACGGAAGCTGAAAGCGTTCATTGTTCTCAGCATGCTGGATTACAATCTAAGATCTAATTGAACTGGACAGCCTATCAAAGGACAAGCCGTGTTTTTCTCGTTGTATAGCGCGTTGGAATGTCGAATGAGAGCGCACGAATGACAATGGCCTGGCGGGCAAGCTGTTGGTGGACGCGCAAGTGCACGCAGTCGTGGTTGCCCCCCGCTGCTTTTTCCAGCCAGCCATAACCATGGCGCACCTGCCGTGCCCAGCTTATAGCTCAGCTCACCCCGTGAACGGCACCACACCCTCTGCAAGCACTCTATTTTCATCGCGAATTCATCTCGGTCACCTTGCGACACTTGCATATTGTATATGATGCATGCCATACGACCGCCTACAGTGGGAAGTGGGCCGCGACAGGGCCCCGCGCGTGGAATGAGAGGTTCCGGCTGTGAGTACTAGGCAACGGACAAATGAAATAGTAATTAACTTATAGGGAATGTCTTAAATATCTACAAAACAACGCCGATGAGGGAATATGTGCCCTTTTATACGGAATGACCCGATTCATGTATCCCGAGTAATTGTGCCAACTGGCTTCCAATTTGCCAACGCCGCAGCCGCCTATCCGACCAAAAGAGAAATCCGTTTAAAAATCATAAGCCACGCTTAGTAGTTGAAGACCGTCAGTGACGGGTTCAGTACAATGGGCAGAAGGCAATGCATGACGACGGTAACAGACCAACTAAGAGAGGTTAGCGACAAATCGAGCAACGAGGGGAAAGAGGTGGGACTTACGGCACGACGGCAGTGGTACCAGTGATTGACCAGCCGTGGGGCGCAAAGCATCCAAGGTAGATCATGCCACCGACCATGGCAATCATGATCATATACATCCACTTGAAGCGCTTCCAAATCTTGGGCAATTCGGCGAAGAAGTTGGAGTTGTCCTTTTCCTTGGCAGTAGCGCCCCAACTCATGTTGATGGAGAACATGTGCGAGCAGAGGGCGAGAAGAATGTGGAACGAGATACCTCCGAAGAAGACCATGAAGAAGGGCATCCACTTGATGTTTTCGACCATGGCGCCAATCAGGCTGGCTTCACCGAGACGGTAGCGCATGATGGCCATGCATACGTTGGACATGCCGTTGAAGACGATGATCAAGACGATGAAAACTAAACAATGTCAGCGAATATCCACTTGTAGCGCAGGTCCACAACTTACCCTTCCACGACTCGACGTAGAACTTGTCCAGGTCACCGTTCAGCCAGCCAACCAGGAAGTAGTTGAGAGCGCCAAGGGGAACAGCCGATCCGATAGCGTAGTACGAGAAGATGTAACCGCAAATGGAAATCTTGGAAGACAGCTGGATGTTGGAGAAGAGGAAAGTGCGGAAGAGCTTGGTAAAGGGACCTTTCCAGAGCCAGGTGTACATGGGGTTGAAGACAAGTTCGTTGCAACCGTAAGCATACTTCTCCCATCGATCCAACTCGTCGAAGATGGTAAGCGACACACCCTCTTTGAAGCCACGGCCGTGGTAACTGGCCAGTCGGACAATGTTACCCGCAATCTGCAGACGAAGCGCAATATCAAAGTCCTCGGACACGTGGCTCTCGGACCAGAAGCAAACGTAGCCATCTTCCTCTGGAGGATTGCCTACAGACTGGACAGCCTGCCAGCGCAAAAAGGCGTTGTGACCGACGAAAGGAGCAACCTCACCGCAACCGACGGAGAAGCGGATCGAAGTGTAGACGAGGTTGGTGAAGAAAGTGATTCCGTTCTCGAAGTAATCCCAAGAGACTTGCATGACACCGGTGGCATGTTGGACAATGGCAACTTCGGGTGAAAGGAACATCTCGGCGGCACCGTACATGAGACAGTCCTCGGGAACAACGGTATCGGAATCGACAATGAGAATGATCTCGCCCATACGAATGTTGCCACCAGCCTTTGCGCGAGGGTCGGCAGCAAGAACTCTCTCAAGTGCTTCCTGGTACAGCGCAAGCTCTTGCTCCTCGGTGATGGAGGCGTTGCCATTGTCGTAACGCTGGTTGACGAGTTCCTGGAGGACATCTTCGACACGGTTGGAGGTGTTGAGAGCAAAGTTCATGTTGGAGGCCTTCTTGAATTTTCCGCGGCGGACGAAGCCTTCGTGGTTGTGCTTGGGACGCGAGACCCAACCGATGTTGTTGTTCGCGTAGAACTCCAGGAACTTTTGGTTATCCTCCTCGGAACGAACCGCCATACCGTCGTCGTTAATGAAGATACGTGCGGTTCCGCCACGAGATTCGTAGTAAGAGATGGCGGCTTGCAAACTGGCGACTGTGGGCTTGACGACACCCTCCAACGACTCAGTGTAGATGGGCATTTGAATGGTGATGGTTGACGGGGTGAATCCCAGGGAGCGCGCATGGGCGAGGTTGGGCTTGATGGCGGAATGGAAGCGGCTGTTAGTCTTGACACCAGTGATGGGACCGAGGACCTCGAAGAAATTACCGATGAGGACAACAACGAAGAAGAGACCCAGCACAACCCACAGCGGTTCGGTGAGGACGAGAGCGATACGTGGGTAAAAGTGGTCAGTCATGGTTTCCATGATGATGGCCTGGTTTCCGAGGCCGATAACGAGGGTGACAATCAGGCCAATGGCGATACCAATGAAGATGGCGCTGGTGAAAATGAGGGGACGAGCAAGCGATTCCTTGGGACCGGTACCCTTCTCGAGGTCGCCTTCGACTTCTTCGGTGAGGACCTCGACATCTTCTTTCTTACCCATGTCGAAATCCATTGTGGAGCCACCGAGGGTGGAGTTTGCGCTGGACTGGACTGCACTGTCGAAACCACTGAAGGGGTTCTTGGATGTACCCCAAACGAGACCTAGGATCCTAGACTCGACCTCCATAGCCTGGGAAAGAATGGCACCAAGTTCGTCGTGCCACACGAGCAGGAGCCTCTCCTGGCGGATAAGGGTCGCATACTGGAACTTGCGGATGGTGCTAGAGGTAGCGACATCTGCCATGGACTCGAATATCTGAATCTGGGAACCGTTCTGGAACATCAACTCGGTTTCAAAGGGCTCAAGGACGTCAAAGATGGCCTGTGTACCATCTGTGCTCATTGTAAGAGCAACACCAGGGTTGATTCTCTTGACTGCGGAGAGGAGGTCCTTGTTGACGGCAGCAGGCTCCGAGACGTACTCTCCCTGGCCCTTACGGATCAAGACACCTTCGCATGACCCAGAGGCGACAGACGAGGGGGTCATCCATCGCATTGAGCATGCTTTGGCATAGAGATGCTTGATAATCTAGGATGTGTCAGTGTTATGACCACATGGTTACTAGCAATGAGGGACACTCACGGCACGGTACCTCGACTCTTCGTCGATCTTCATGGTCAAGGGTCGCGATACGGGAGGTCGGCCATTGGGTGTTTGGGGCATCGAGTTGCGCGAGCCGCCGATGCTATCGTTCAAGGACTGCCTGCTCGACGGGAAGGCGAGGCCGTCCCCATCGTGGGAGGGGGTGCCGGAAGACATGTTGGACATGTCACGACGATTAGGGTACGTGAGTAAAAATTAACGGACAATTATGGCTAAGTGACAGGAAAAGACCCAAAATAGAAGCCTCAAAAGACCAGCAGCGATGAGCAGAGCTACCAAACGAAGGAATGGGCAAGTAGCCCTACGAAGAGTGTCAAGGGTGAGGGAATAGAAAACGAGCCAAAGCGGTCGAAGAGCAGTGGTTATCAAGGCGGCACAGATGGTAGTGTCTACACGATTTTCTCCAGCTACGCGAAGCTGCGCCCCGTTCCAGCCCGTAGCCATCAGGTCAGAGATACCACTGATGCTACACGCTATCGAATGTTTGGCGTACCCCCTGGTCTAGCACGCTTGAAATCTCATCAGGCCTGCCTACGCGAGCATCCCGAAAAGGCCACTGCGTCTGTCACAACCGCCGTCGTGCAGCACTGATAATTCAGAATGGGCAGAATCCCAGGCCACCCTGTGCACCTAGCCATCCCGACATGGAATCGTGGTCTTTGCCGTGCACGCCCCGGTCGCTCTTCCGCAATCTGGGCCTCGGTCTCGGGACGAAGGCTGCTCCACTAGCAGATAACGAACCTGTATCTCGGCGGGCCGACACGATCAGAGAATCCGTCACGATGGTGGTGGTGTTCGAAAGGAGGTGGATTTGATTGCTGCGTTGCCAACACGTCTGACGCATGTGCCTGAGCCAAGCGGAGCGGATGCTACTAATTAGCCTAGCCGCTGCTATACTGGGCATACGCCACTGTTGACGTTTGAACCGACGAGGAAAATTCACTTTTTTTCAGCCAGGCCACCATCGTGCTCGGTAGCTGGTAGCGCTATTTGGCAGCCAGCCTCAGGTGTTACCGCGACTAAGGGAGGGTTGATGGTGGGACCGCTCCATGTCCTCGGCCTGGACTGAACCAGGAATCTGGCGCCCAAAACCGTCTGATGTGACCGGGAGCCCACGCCGCATTGCCCTTGACGTACTGCAGGCCAAGACCGAGAATGACCCGCGTGTGGAAATCATTTGCGAGTCTACACAAGCTTACACATGACAAGCAGATTACAGCACAGATTGGTGTAGATTGCTTTTGCCAGATGGGTAGAACAGGTTTCTGAGCCGCAGCTTGGCTGGATACCATGTCTCCTCCCACCTGCCAACGCCTGCCCTGGACTCTGGCACCCGCTTGCAGCGATAAGGACCCTTGCGGATGTTCCGTTGTTAAGATTAGCACGGTACCTTGTCTGGATGGATGCCTCATTGTCCAGCACATGAAGCAGCTCGCCACTGGGCAGCCACATGTCGCAGAGTGCCTGCCTCGATGATTGAGTTTGATGCATGACGCCATGCCCAGGTGGGCAACTTTGAGTCAGTGGGGGTTCCGGTCGACCAAGGTGGAGTGGAGTGTAGGGGTGGAGTCGTCGAGGCGCGACACACCATGGCAGATAGCGTGCTGTGTGTAGCCGAGCTGCAGATAAGTCCACTGCCAACGATGGGCCACGAGCGCCAGCTACTGGAGCTGCAGGATTCTAGCCACAGACGTGCAGATACGGAGGGCACAGTATCGAAAGCAGGCGGCGGTCGAGGGCGGCCAGGGATGATTCGCCGATGTAGTAGCAGCCGTGGGCGCAGGTCGAGTCGGAGGAAACAGAAGTGCCGCGCAGGCCCGCCGTGTTGGATGTACACCTACTGCTAACTACTCCAAGGGGGGAAAAGAGCCTGGGCGTTGAGTCGTGGACGGTTGCGAGGAGATCGGCCGGGCGCTAAGCCAGGTACAGAGGGGGATTGGGAGGCGTGTGGCGTCCGACAGCGAGGAATGCCGACTGTCCATTGCCCATGGACGTTGTGCGTGTGGTCTGGGACGGGCGGTGCAGTTTCTGTCGCCTGGCTAGCGTTGCGGTAGCCCCGAAAGCCAGGTGCCATGACTGCGAGGCTGTCACACTAGCCGCGTGCTTATCTCGAGTAGCGCCTCTCGACGTACCTGCATGCAATGGCGCGCTAGCCCGTTTGGCCGCATCGTGTGCTATTCGCAGGCCGTCGCCGGCGCGTCGTTTGCACCCACCGGCCACGCCCTGCCCCCGGCGCCCGCACCGCCGTCATGTCGACGACGGCAAATCGTGCTGGCAAAGGTGTCGAAGGTTCTAAATCCAGACTTGTAAAAGCCATCGCACTTCGCGCATCCCGACGGCGGTCCAGTCTACTATCGATTTCTTGGAGCCGCAAAAGTCAGCTGGCGGGAATTGATACTTCAGCCCTCAACAACGTACACTTTCTTGGCCCCCGGTCCTTTATCAAGCTCGCTTCCTGGGGTCGCTAAGGCAATAAACAACCTTGCCCGGCGTGCTGAAGACGTGACCATCTGCCTCTGCATTCGACATTCGTTTCTGTTCCACCACGCAGCCATGCCTTCTTTCTTCAAGCGCAACAAGGCCTCTTCGTCGGAGAAGGACCCAGCACCGCCTGAGGCCCTTTCTCACGATGTCCCAGACCTTCCTGCTGGCATGTCACAGAGGCGCCCCGACCTGCCCGCAGGCGGCCGCATGCCTAGGAATCCCTCCAACCTCTCATTTGGGATGTTTGCGAACCAGACGACTGCTGAAGTCCGCAAACAACCACGACCATTCAAGAGCTATCGGCTGCGAGGAGAGTATGTTGTCCACCCGTGTGATCGTCATGGGGGCAGTCTGACCAAGTCTCTAGGCGCGAGCTGCCATGGAAAGACGACCCACGGATGAAGAAGACCAGAGTCGGCAACTGGATCACATCTACCTTTATCATCATTGGACTGGGTCTCAGTGGATACCTCATGTACACGGGTGTTTTGAAGGCGAAAATCCCCGCCCAATGTCTAATCATGGAAGACCGATTTGAAAAGATTGACCCCGCAAACTGGGGCTACGAGATCCAGGTAGGAAGTCTTCATCACGTCGAAGCTTCTCGGAACTAACAGGGGGTGCTAGACTGGTGGCTACGGCAACGGCGAGTTCGACTGGACGACCGATGACCCCAAGAACAGCTATGTCGATGCCGAGGGTCTCCACATTGTTCCCACGCTCACGACCGAGTCTACCAACATTACTCCAGAGCAGATTCTCAATGGCTACACACTCAACATCACCAAGGCCGGCGGCGATGGTTCATGCACGTCAACAGACTACAAGTCTTGCAGTATCCGTTCTAATGCGACTACTGGCGCTACTATTCCTCCTGTTCGCTCGGCACGTTTGACGACCAAGGGAAAGAAGTCCATCAAGTACGGCCGCGTCGAAGTCGTTGCCAAGACTTCAAAGGGTGATTGGCTGTGGCCCGCCATCTGTACGTTGCTTTTCCCTTGTGCGGGAAGACATGGACATGTACTCACAATGACGTCTAGGGATGATGCCTGAAAACAGCGTATATGGTGCCTGGCCCCGCAGTGGAGAAATCGATATTGCTGAATTCCGTGGCAACGCATGGCCATACCCTGAAGGCAACGACTTTGTTTCGTCGACTCTGCATTGGGGACCCGACTCGAAGCACGATGGCTACATCAACACGCACGGCACTTCTTTCTTCCGCCGCGAGACGTTTGCCTCGAGCTTTCACACGTTTGGTCTTGAGTGGACTGAAAAGTACCTATTCTTGTACCTTGACAGCCGTCTCAAGCAAGTCATGTACTTCCGGTTCAACCAAGAAAGCAGTTTGTGGAAGAAGGGCGGATTTGCTGGTGCGACAACGTCCAACGGCACGCTGGTGGAGAACCCATGGGTCAAGGGCGGCCCGAATGCGCCATTCGACGAGAGCTTTTATCTGATCCTCAACGTTGCTGTAGGCGCCCAAAACGGCTGGTTCTTTGACGGTGAGGGCAACAAGCCGTGGGTCGATGGCAGCGACTTTGCCGTCAGGGACTTTTGGAATGGTGAGTATTTTGCCCGGTTTGGTCAGGCTAGGAAACAAAGAACTAACACTTGGTGTAGCGAAGGACCAGTGGCTGCCAACCTGGGGCGAGGGCGCCGCACGTGGTATGACTGTCAAGTCTGTCAAGATGTGGAAGGCTGGCAACTGCTAGAGGCGGCATCTGACTGCCGCGTCTCATTTGCTTCTTGGACGACGGTTGATCGTCGCGCGCTCTCTACCTAATTGCCATCACGCTCTTCAACGGCTGTCTTGCTTTTTTTTCTTCATCTTTATTTCCTTGAGGGTAATTGACGGATACCGGCACACATTAGACGTTTCTGCGCACGGACATGGATGGTAAAGGCGCACGGGGCGCCTTTTTTCTTGGGACACACGTTTGCACCGCGCAACTTATTTCTTCACCGACAAGGCAAGATCAAAAACTTATCTGTACCAAGACATTTTAATGGATGCTATTATACCAAGACACGGTTGCTGCTGACAGTTGCGGGCCTTTTTTGCTTGTTCGCTGGCAAGACGGATGGTGGGACAGGCGAGGCTGGTCGGGTATAATCTCAGTCTAGGTCAAAGGGTGCATAATCTCCAGGCTCCACCCTCAGCCCGTATTGGAGTGAGTGGCTTGCAGAATCGGACGAGGGTGGCCAGGGTGCGCAGCAGGGGCAAAGCGAGATACCGGCGCGGCACAACGACGAAAAAGCAAAACAGCGCGGAAGGGAAAAAACGATGCCTGTCTTAGCCAAACCATGCAAAGCCACGTCCGGAAGCGAAGAAGAAGCGCCCCAAAGTTGTAGCCCAAGAGAGACATTACTCGCTGGAGACCCTCTGGCCTTGCGGCTACTCCGATCGACTCCTTCCCGCCTCGGCTACCTGTCTCTTTTGCGAGAGCGAAACCGACCTTGGGGCCATTTTGGCCGCCGTGTTGTCCTTGTTCATGCCCTTTGCGAGTTAGTAGTATAGTACTTAGATGGGTTTTCCAGCATCCACGGTGGAAGTGGTGGTGTCCCCACATGCGCGCCCCCACACGGCCTTTGCTGCGCTCTCTCACTCTCTCTCTGCACATGGCAGCCCAGGCCAAGCCAAGGCCCATCAAGCCCTCGCTCGCTGCTCGTTCACGTTCGTGCTCGTACATGGTATCCACCACGATCCTGATCCTGATCCCTCGCCCCCCCTCATCCAAGGCGGCACCCCCCGCCGCACGCGCTCGCACATCCTTTTCCCTGTAAACACGTACTCTACTATACATTATGGTAAAACACTTCCCCCTCCCCCCTCCAGACCAGGCTATTGTTTTGCAAACAGAAACGATAGAACAGACAATAATACGCATGTGTGTGTGTGTACACGCGGCCCGCTCCCTTGGACGCCCCTGTACGGAGGTAGGCGCGTTCCTAAAGCGACACATGTACACTACCAGAATAGCCACACATGTGTGTGTGGATGTGTGGATGTGTGGATGTGTCGTCGCGTACTTAGTTTTAGAGTTTTCACATTGAAACCGTCCCGTTTGCTTAGCGCTGGGCCGCACTATGGTGTTTTTGACCTGTTTTCCACTGTGTCTCCGAATGCCAGTCAGCCAGCCAGCGACGTCGTCCATCGGATGGTTGGACCCGATTGCCGTGGGTGGCTTGCCAGCCACCACGCGAGGCTAACCGGTTTGCGGCGTGGGGAGCGGGCGCCGAACAGGGGTAATCCCGGATTGACGAGGGTCTTTGAACAGGGGACAGGGGTATGTGAAAAGACGCTACGTTATGTCCGCTTTAGCGCCCCCCACTCCCCCCCCCCCTTCCATGCATGGCTGCACGCCTTTCTCTCGCTGCTCGTAGATAAGGCCGTTTCGCCAAAGAAAAAACAGGGCGGCCGTTGTTGCGGTTTGCGGCGTCGTGCGTGCATTTGATGCTATTGTTGTATTATTGTTTGTTTTGTCATCGCCAGGGGTGGATTACTAGTATACTTTTCCTTTTCCTTACTCGTTTGGCCTTTGCTTGCTTGCTTGCTTACTGCTGTCATGTGTGTGTGTGTGTGTTGGCGGTGATGGGCTCCTTGCTATGCAAGGGTTTTCTTCCATACGTACGTACGTACGGAGATAAAGCTACAGTACGGATATGCACAAAACAGCAGATTTTGAGCGCTCTGCAAACGACTAGTCGACGGAGAACGATGGCATGCATGCCCGTCTGTCGTGGTAGTAAGGCCGTTCCAGCGCAAACGCCAGCCGTAGCGTACCAGACTTTACTACACGCCACTCCTTTCTTTTGCCTTATTCCCTACAACACTGACTCCCTGCCGTACGATGCCGTACCGCACACACATACACCCACCCCTCGCGATGACGCCAGTGGCGGTTCCAGGGAAAAAAAAGGGGGGGTTCATCCAGACAGAGACATACCCATGGCCCAATATGCATGGTCGCGACTCGTATACTTTTTTGTTGGATAGCCTTATGTTCTTGGCTCTGGACTTAGCCTTGCAGGCTTCATGCAGGTAGAGCGACGGCCTATCTGCATCTTGAGATTACATGGCTGACGGAGACGAGTCCATCCACTCGTCTTGGTTCATGAGCTGAATATCGCTCTTTCTCTCTCCATCCCTCCCCTTTTGCATATATGTATGTATCTGTGGATGTGTGTGGATATAGCCTAAGTACAGCGAGTGTTGGTGTAGCGCGCGCTCCTGCGAGATTCCAATCACGCTCGCTGTGGCTTGGGCGCGTAGAAACGCCTCCATCGTCTGCTTCTCTCTCCATCTCGCCTCTTTGCCTCTCCGTCACATGCACGCACGCATACGTACATGCCCCTTGTGGAAATGAAATGCCAACTTGGTTTGCCATCGCGCCATTTTCTTTCGCATGTAGTACGGATATCGCATCCCCTTGAGCCTATGTGTGTAAAAAGGGAGTGGCGTCGTTATTGCGTGTGGGCAGTAAAATGAAGACACCAAACACAAACCCCACACTCAATCAATCCATGAATCCATCAAACAAACAAACAAACAAACAACAAACATACAAGATGAAGCCCGCCGCCGCCCCCATTTCGGAGTCTCCGGGCCGCAAAGCACACAATTGTCATCTTTCCAGCATACATACTTTATCAGGCTGTCTTGCAAATGTGGAGATTTCACACACATGTGCGCGTCATGCTCCATCGCTGAAATCCCCATCCTTCGAGTTCTTACATGAATTTCTCTTTTTTCTTTTTAGGTTGTCTTGCTCCGATGCATTCGACATGCAGAAGGTTGTGCAACATGGTATTAATATAATACCATGTAATATGCACACGCACATGCACGGGTGTAACGGATGTACATACAGCCACAGCCACACACACAGCCTTGCAGGGTGGGGGGTCGTGTAGCAGCGTTTCATCCCTCACCACACCCGCATGCTCATGAATCTGCAAGAAAGTTTATAAAAAGGATCATGTGTGTTTGCTTATCTATGTTTATACATGCTTGGCTGTGATCTTCATAGTGTAGCAACGCCCTGTCGATAACATGCTCCGCACATACATTCCTTTGCACAGCTCCACGTTGCACCCGGTGAAGAGGTAGGTGGAAGCGTCCAAGGCTCCGTGGGGATTTTTGCCGTGCTGAGGTGGATTGGGGACGAGGGCCTGCCTGATTCGGGCCATGTGCAAGTGTTGAGATATCGATTGTGCCGCGATGCGCATCGGATACTTTTGCATCCGGGCGGATCCGCCATGGACGGCACGCCTGTTGCTGTTGTTGTTGCTGTCCACTTTCATGTGCATTTCCAACCAACTCACTGCTGCCTCACCGCAACCTTGACCTGGAATCCGCGGGGCTTGACAAACCAGATGGCGCTCGCGTCCCATTCCCCGTCCTGGAGGTGGCTGGCCAGCGTAAAGTCAAACTTGGACACGAGCATGGGAACGAGCTTTGCGATTTCCAGCAGCGAAATGTGTCGCCCAATGCAGGTTCGTGACCCTAGACCAAACTATACAATAGCGGCACGCTTTTCGTTAGCACAAAAAATTTCTACCCAGAACGGGGAAACGAACGAGATGGAACCGCTGCTTGAGGACGGAACCGCTGCTTGAGAATAGGAAGGGGTGGGAAGGGGGGCGGCGACACGACCGTATCCGCGGCGTCGGTCTATAATACGCGTGTGCACATGACGAATTCAGCAACTATTACATACCGGCATCCAATTTCGTTCCATGAGACTTAGTTTCTCCTTGTCCGAGTCGAGCCAGCGCTCTGGTCTGAATTCGTTTGCGTCGGGCCCAAAGATGGTCGTGTCGCGGTGCATGACCCACGTGTTTATCCCGACAACAGTCTAAACTATATCAGCACCCCATATATAGGTTGTATATACATGGTCTACGCAAACACGGAAAATGCTTGCGTGACGGGGGGAACACTTACACCTTCTGGGAAGAAGTAGTCGCCAATTTGGGCTCCCCCGGACGGCACAACACGCTCGAGCGGGAGACCAGTAGCAGGGTGCATTCTCAGTGCCTCCTTAATGACGGCTTGTAGGTAGGGCATTGTTTGACTATCCTGGAAGGAAAAGTAGTGGCCCGGTCCGGCTTTTCGGCGTTGCTCGTCGACTTCGCGGCGCAGTGTTTCAAACGTTGTGGGGTTCTTGAGCAGGTAGTAGAGGATGGCTGACACGCTGATGCCCGTCGTGTCGGAGCCGGCGACCATGTTGGAAATGCAGCCCACGACAAGGTGGTACATGGTGAAGGTCTGCGGGTTCTCTGCATGCTTCTTGTAGAACTTTGTTAAAAAGTCCATGCTGCTCTTGCCTTGCTCTGCACCGTCCACTGGTATCCCTTTGGTGTGTGTCCGCTCATGGTCGGCCATGCACTCTTGTGTGAACTTCATGACGTGCGCTCTTCCTGCTCCAGTTGGGCCAGCGAGCCAGTTGCGAATGGGATAGAGATATTTGTGTAGCCACGAGTAAACGCCCACTGTGCTCGCGTACATCATGTGGTCCTCCAAGGCGGACATGACACCGCGAACGTCTTCACCTCTATCCAAAAACCCCAGCCGTTTGGAGAAGGTTATCATTCCAATCACATCGAATGCGTAGCACTGTAGCCAATGTCCCATGTCTGTGTACATGCCCGCACTGGCGAGTTCTTGGAGGCGTTGGCTGAACAGCTCCGCGCACTCGTCTACGTAGGGCTCGTACGTGATGAGCGACGACATGGAATACATGCTTTGGTACTGTCGGCGGTTCTCGCTATGGCGGGGAATCGAGCGATCGGGGAAGAGAGACCATTGCGATGCGCCTGGCGTCTTCCATGTCTCGTACCAGTCCGACTTTGGGAATTTGGCTCCATGGCCATAGATTGTCTTTAGCGCGGCTTGCGAGGAGAAGGAATAGCGGTTTGGCCCGTAGCGTACGACTTCGCCTATACGAATATGTAAATGTACGTTCTACTTGTGCATGCAATCTTTACTGTTTTCGGGTAGCAAGGCGTGCACACGGGATAAGACCCACCATGTTTCTTATGCAGCTCGATATTATCCAGGTGGAATTTTCCATTACGCACTCGGAGGAAATACCACAGGTCGGTGAATCTTGCAGCAAATGGGCCCGAGACTTTGCGGAGCGGGGAAAAGAGGGTTTTCAGAAAGGGCAAGAATATGCGTGCTATTAAAGCAGCTGCAGCTGCAGCTACATAGATCGCGAGTTGCATTGGTTATGTCTTGGCCGGGCCTGGGAACCAGTGCTTCCTTGGACACAATATAGTCATATTGCGGGGGTTGCTAGTTATTTATGCTGGCAGCTGACACTGACACTGATGTGAGCAATGACGCTTGTGCGGGGAGAGAATGCGGAACAAGAGTGCGGAGCAAGAGTACGGGATCTGAGCTTCAACATACTCAGCACTAGCTTCGTACGAGCTACGACCGAGCGCCGAGCGTGCAAAAGCTTTCATGCTGCAGTATCATTTTGCGAATATCAAATGTTCTCTATGTATTTATTTCATTTAGATTTGAATTTCATGTGGTGCTTGAGTGTCTAACAATGCCTCGACGTCGAGTAATTGCCGAATGTTGCGTGGTACTCCAGCGTATGATTTTATAGCCGAGGTTAACGTGTTTTATCAGTAAGCGGCCCACATCAGTAAGTGGCCCACCCCACCAAACCTGACGCGATACTCTCCACAACCACCACTATGCCGCGACAACAACGCTCTGTACAGACTTCTCGTGAAGGTAGAGTTCTTCTAGCATCTCGCGCGCTTCAAGAAAAACGTGTTGTAAGCCAGCGCCAAGCTGCTATGCTATACGACGCTCCACGAACAACGCTCCGACGACGCCTCCGCGGTACCAAGCCACGATCAGAGACAGCCTCCGTCAATCGCAAGCTATCAGCTGTCGAAGAGCAGTCTCTTGTTCAATGGATCATAGAGCTAGATCGACGAGGCTTTCCGCCCCATATTATCGACGTGCGACGGATGGCAGACGCTCTACTCGCTGCGCGTGGCCAAGATCCACCTCCACAGCCTATTGGCAGATGCT